CCTTTTTGACAAGCAAATACTAATGTTATTCAACTTTAGATACAGTAGATGGTATGTTTTCATTCTTAGCGTGTATGTGAATGTGTGTGGTTAATGATAGCTACATCGCATTTATTAGTAGTCTTTGTGTATTCAGTAGGCATTATTCATGTACTTTTCCATGGGAAATTAAAATCACTGAAATGTAAGATTTATGAAATGGAGAGGTACTATGGATATTTTTTATAACAAACAGTATTTCAAGTGATGTATGATGTAGGTATACAGACTAATATTCTTCTCATTATAATCAGAATGAAAAAATTAGAATATTAGAAATTACTTGTTTTAATATTGTACATTATGATAGATAATAAAATCGAATGAAATTTGGAATATTTTTAGATTACATGTAAACTTGTTTCATTAAATTAAAAGTAATTTTAATGTGTCAAACATGTTGTAGATTGAATGAAGTGTTATTTTGCACCACAATTAACCTATCCCATGTTACTCAAAGTTGGAGGTAATGGGTTGTAAAAATGTACTATGGGGTTACACAGTAACAAGACATCATTTGTGATCCTTTTTATCAGTGTCTCTACTTTGAAGAATAATGTTCCCAAAGCTCTTTTTCATTATATGTATAATTACATTGTTACTATAATGCTTATAATAAAGATTTTGTACTTAATGAAAAGCCATACATTTCTTAACACAGCATGACTAGTTATTACATTGTATCCTACATTTTTCTCTTCACGCACTGCTGGCAATAAACAGAAATAAGCATTTTTTGTTTATATGATAAATTACAAATATCATGTTAAGTGAACTATAGTTGTAGTATATTCTACGAGTAAAGTAATTATGTTGTGTGAATGTGGATGTATACCTATTTCACAGAAAAGAAATATTAGAAAGATAGATTAATTTCAAAGTGTTGAGATTAACTAGCAAAGTAGAACTTCAAAATTCTGAAAGGATATTTGTCACTTATGTTATTATTGTTTAAAACTTTAAGTCTTTGAATGGAACCTGCCCATGCTATCCTTGTTCTACAGCTTCGTTACTCATGCTAGGCCACCTATGTTATTTATTTTTCAAGTTCATATAAGATACCATTTATGTGACCTGATCTGCAATTCACAGGATTTGATAAATACTTTCATGGTGTCATAAAATTCCTAATTTGTGAGTATTCCAATTGTAGTATTACGATACTTTATTAACTCTATATTTCATGCTCAATTTGGAGAAGGATATAAAGAATTCTGTACTGTTTCTTTACTTTTGGGTTATCGACTTATATTGATTGATTGATTATTTTTTTTTCGCGATATTATGGGCGTACGGATTTAATAGTTTCAATAAGGGCCCTTCCCCCTCCCCAAGCTGAGTAGCATGAACTTCCCTCGTGATGGTGCGTTACACTCGTTTGGTATTACTTTACCCGCTAACCCCCCAAACTAATACTTGTTGTTCGAGCTACTAGGTTAAGCAGAGGCCATCTGTGTGCCGCCACTTGGTGCTACCCGTACCGATACCAGAATCACGCTTGTATAAGGAGGAAGAGATCAAGGAGATGACAATTCTATTTTCGCGTGCTTTCCTCTGGACTGACTTTACTTCAAGAGGTAAAGGTTCCATAAACCAGTGGCATCTTAGATAAACTCTAGCTCTACAAGTCGTCATAATGAAGGAAATATAAGATTGTGAGACTGATGACAGCAACCGATTTTATTAAAATTACTCCTATGTATACATATATGACTGCGTGGATGTTGTCTGTATGCTTTCATGAAATCCAACAGGATAGTCGACGACTAGAAAAGTGAGTCGCTTGTGTACTTAGGCAGGATATTACATGACTGGGTTAGAACTTGGATATAACCATTGGTTTTATAGAGACTAGTTATCAGGTAGGGTTCAGGTAGTGACGCAAGATGACAGAAGGAGTCACATGAACGAAGTTGCGTCTTATTTATATTGTGGAACGCTTTGATTAATTTGATGGCGTATATCATGAAGGAATTTAACTGAGACTTGTTATTGTACAGATGTCATATGTTTTAAAATTTGGGAGGCTCTAGTATTATATTAGCAGTAGATCATATTTCTGTAGGGTGAGCTTGTGGCTCCAGAGAAGAATGATCGCAATATGTCCAGGGTGTGGTGGTGGAGCATTGCGCCCAGGCTATCTTGACTCCTGGCTCAAGGCAATCCTCAGCCACCCAGCCTGAGTAGGCATGGTAACTTAGCAGGATGCACACCATGCGGGTTTGGAATAGGACTGGCTGCGAGATCTAGTCCGACAGGAGATAGCCGGTGATGTCAGATGACATTATGAAGAGGAAAAGGAACGAGTCTCATTGATTGGCAGATATAGAGATCCGCTTATTTATACTTTATGGCAAGAGGGGAGGTGGAGACGAGGGTCTAATGCAAAGAAGGAGACGAGTTATGTTGTAGTTACAAGGCAGGGCGCATGGGGCAGAAGGAGATTGGCTCAGTACGTGGAGAGGCAGACCCGACGCAGTAAGAATGTGTATGCTGGTGTGTACCTGGAAACTCACCCGGAGAGGACTCCCACAGTAAGTCCTGTAGTAGCAGGAGGCGTGGCGGTGCTGAAATGGAAGGAGTACTGAGAGGTACACTGTGTGGGCTGGGGCGAGAGAAGCTGGGGCGCAGCTGGGATTGGTTGTATGTTTTTTTCTTTCAGTTGGCTTATGGTAGTGTCTGTTGTTTTTGCTGTCCCTTCCTTCTTGTTTTTTTTTTTTGGGTTTCTGTGGTGGGTTTGTGTGGTTTGTGTGTTTGTGACCATGTGCTTTGGACCATTGTCATGTTCGGACCGCCGTCGTATGCCGGTGAATTCTGCTGAGTAGCGTTGGTCGGGAGTTCGCACGAGTACTCTCTTGTATCTATGTGTGACCTCGGACACAATTGGAGCTTGTGACCCATCTCTACTATAAAGGATAGAATGAATCTTAAAATTGGCACTAAAATATATACTATCTCTCACTAGTTATGAGACTAGCGCGTAGTGGTGACCCTGTTCCATGCATTGCAGAGAGCTGTGTATGTGATGTAGGCTGGTCGCGCGAAGAACCTCTTCATGAGGATTAGTGGCTGAGCTGCGCCTAGTAATCATGCGCCGGTGCTTGTGGTGTCATGCTAGTGTGCGTGATTTGCAGGGAGTTGCTGTGAGCGGTAGGCTGATGCATGGACCTCGCAGTCTGGCTAGCGCTGACAATAGTTCAGAAGGCACAAGCGAGACATACTGTCTCAAAAATAATTAAAAATATAAAAGTAGATATGTATATTTGTATATATGACTGATTAACTGAATTTTATAAGCAATATAATTTATTCTGATATTTTAAAGCTCGAGTTTTTAGGATTATATAGTTAGAAGTCAGGGTTAAAATTCATTAGTTTAAAGTACAGGGTGGACTAAAGTGGTGCGTCGCAGTAATGGAGCACGTTAAAGTTTTATTTGTTCGTATGGCTGAAGCCACTTATGAGTTTTAGAGAAACAACAGGGTAGCACATTTGATCTGAATCAGAGAGAAGAGGATTACGCTTTTGTTCCAAAGGGGCACTGCGGTGTAAGAGGAAAAATAAAAAAAAAAAAAAAAAAGCAATGGGGAAGGACCACACGGATCAACAAGAGGAGAACGAGAGGAAGCTGGAATGACGTATTTGAGGATATATAAAAATGGATGCCCACCCTAAACCGGTTGGACTCCAAGATCATAGGGGATTACCTAAGACAGCTAATTGGTTTAGTGAGGAGTCTTTGAGCTCTTTGTAGATGCCAGTATTTTATAGCTGCTGTCTACGTATGCTAATCTCCTTCTCCTGATCAGATATTTCTGGTCTGAGCATCAGGAACATGTGCTGTCAATCAGGAGGCATGTTCCATGAGTATTGAGTTCCCAGGGTATATGACTTACTGGTCAATCATACAGTTATGTGAAGTAAGTAAAGCTTGCAGGCTCATGTCATCTAAGTTTAAGCAGGTGGGAGAGCCTAAGTTCCCGAAATCATCCGCGTATCCTATTTGTCTCATTAAATCCCGCGAGCCCA